AGCAGGGCAGGGCAGGGCAGGGCAGGGCCCTGCTGTGAGGAGCATGGGCCATTGGGTGCTGTAATAGACGGGTATGGGCCATTAGGTGCTGTGATAGACGGGTATGGGCCATTGGGTGCTGTGATAGATGGGTATGGGCCATTGGGTGCTAGGGTGGAAGAGAGGCATGGACCATTGGGTGCTGTGATAGACGGGTATGGGCCATTGGGTGCTGTAATAGAGGGGTATGGACCATTAGGTGCTGTAATAGATGGGTATGGGCCATTGGGTGCTGTGATAGATGGGTAGGGAGCATTGGGTGCTAGGGTGGAAGAGCAGCATGGACCATTGGGTGCTGTGATAGACGGGTATGGGCCATTGGGTGCTGTGATAGACGGGTATGGACCATTAGGTGCTGTAATAGATGGGTATGGACCATTGGGTGCTGTGATAGACGGGTATGGACCATTGGGTGCTAGGGTGGAAAAGAGGCATGGACCATTGGGTGCCGTGATAGACGGGTATGGACCATTGGGTGCTGTGATAGATGGGTATGGGCCATTGGATGCTGTGATAGATGGGTAGGGAGCATTGGGTGCTGGGGGGGAGGAGGGGCACAGGCCAGAGGGTGTTGTGGCAGGACAGACAGGGCCCAGCAGTGAAGAGTATGAGCCATTGGGTGCTATGGTGGGAAGGACAGGGCCACAGAATTTTGAAATGAGAAAACTACCATCAGGCACATGGAAGCACATTAGGAAAGCCGAAGCCCTACAGGGAGGATGGGGCCACTGGATGCCATGTTGGGAAGGGCTGTGCCATGCTAGCAAGGAACAAAGAACTAGGATTGCTATGTTAGCAAGGGTTGACTCAAGTTCTCAGTCCTTATCTCCAAGGCACTCCATGCCCTGTGTCCAGGATATCAAAAATACTGGCTAAAGCTCTGGGGAAGGCTGTAATAGACATTTGCACTCCTTGGGCACACTATAACTTTCAACAATAAGGGTAAAGCTCACCTGTGCAGGAAATGGAACTTTCTGAGGGGCCAGTCTGAGACTGTGGAATAAACTCTTCAAATAACTAAGGAGCATCACAAACCTCACCACCTTCCTCTCCACGTCCAAGGGGGATTTCTTTGACCTTGCTTTCTCTAACATAAATACATAGCAGCGTGTATATTTAATTTTAAAAAAAATCTAGAACCTTACTAAAACAATTCACTCCAGTGTACGTGCTTCTTCCCCTAAAGGAAAAAATGGTTACGTACCTATATTGAGCATAAGAACTTAAGAATGGCCATACTGGGTCAGACCAATGGTCCATCTAACCCAGTATCATATCTTCCAACAGTGGCCAGGGCTGGATGCTTCAAAGAGAATGAAAAGAACAGGACAAGCATCCAATGATCCATCCCCTATTGTCCAGTCCCAGCATCTGGAAGTCAGAGGCTCAGGGACGTCTAGAGCATGGGTTTGCATCCCTGATCATTTTGGCTAATAGCCACTGATGGACCTGTCATCCATTAATTTATATAATTATTTTTTTAACCCATTTATGGTTTTGGCCTTCACAGCATTCCCTGGCAATGAGTTCCACAGGTTGACTGTGCGCTGTGTGAAGAAGTACTTCTTTTTGTTTATTTTAAACCTGCTGCCTATTAATTTCATCAGGTGACCCCTGGCTCATGTGTTATTTGAAGGGGTAAATAACCCTTCCTTATTCACTTTCTCCACACCATTCATGATTTTATAGACCTCTAACATATTCCCCCTTAGTCACCTCTTTTCCAAAATCAATGGTCCCAATCTTTTTAATCTCACCTCATATAGAAGCTGTCCCTAGCCTCTGTCTGTCAGAGGGTGGAGATGGATGGCAGGAGAGAGATCACTTGATCATTGCCTGTTA